GTGCTTTAGTTGGCTCAAGTTAGATAACGGTACAAAGCAAATGTGGAGCGATTTGTTTAAGAGAGAATTAAAGGGGTAATATGTAGCGGCCACTAGCGATGCAGTTTTAAGATTGCAAGCAGGCGTGTGCTTGTACGCATGCTCGCTTGATCTCATGAGCGAGCATAATCCGAAATACAACCGCCTTACTACAGAGATCCCACAATAAAGGCATAAACATCGGTTTGACGACTGTGGCTTTTCTCCAGACAAGTTCAGACTCTGTTACTTGGAAAGCCATAATTTTACATATTATATATTGCAATGCACCGCATAATATTAGGAACTGCTCGACGTTAGCCAGCAAGCTAACATGACTCTCTCTGTGTTTCCAGCCTTTCTGATGTTCATGGTTTTCACCAACAACATTTGATTCTCTTTGGCCTGACAGGCTTCAGCACATAAACCTTTATTGTTGTTTTTATCCTTATGTGGGGTTTATGTTGGAGTCTGTGTTGTGCTGGGAGCCGGTTGTTTTATGGTGTTAGTAGACTGCATTTCGTTAGCTGCGGCTCGGGAGCACGCATGTAGCTACATCCCGACCCGGTGCCTTCACATTAATAGCAGAATAGTGGCTGTTCCAAGCAACAGAGAAAACAGGTGTGTACTTCATTTCTAAGTGAGGTTATAGCCTATTGACAATAAAGCAGTAAAAATTTGATTTGTTAATAAGTGATGTCATTGAAAAACTACATAATCATTAAGCATTAATTCTTTTTTGTTCTCTCTGTTAAAAATAATATTTTACAAGATGCTATTATGGACACACTCGAATTACAATTCATTACCTACATTTCAATTCATTAGTCCACACCTCTAATTTTATGCGGGCAATCCAAAGGCCAATACAAACATAACTGGGTTAACTGTATAGATTAATTTATTGAAATTTATTACCTTCCAATGTAAGGTAACATTTTTCTTGGTTCCTTTTAATAACATTATGTCATTTGACATGGTTTAAATTAATACAACTAACCAGACATACATATTTGCCTGTATTTGATTCAACCCAGGTATATTACAGAAATCACACACTAAAATTAACTTACAAATCCACAGACCCTCTTCTCTGTGATTCAACATCCCATACAATGATGTGCAAACATCATGTTTATGTCACTCAATGTAATTAGTTGTTAGAATAAGATACTAAGCTCAAAATAAATAAAATATGAGTTTTAAAAAATGCGGTCATTTAATATCAAACCACATTGCTGAGAGTATTTTCAGTTTTGGTCTACATACAGCAGCATGATTCCAGCTCGGCTGGATGTTGGTCCTCTGAATTGTTCAAATGCGAGGCATTTCGCTTTGAGCTGGATTACTTGTGGGAGAACACAGGATGTTATCTCTGATATGGAAACCAAGACACAGTGACAGACAAAATAAGACTAAGGATGAGCAGGAAGACAGGTGGACATGGGGAAATGTGGCCTGAGGCAAGGAGACGGGGTCATCTACACAGGGGGTACAAGGTTAGCGAATATTTGCAGACAGGCCCTAGAGGAGGTTGTGTTCTCAAAAAACAAACACGGCTTCAGTCTCTCTCACACAAAAATTGTATGGTGTGAGAAGAGTAGCCTCAAGGCTTGGCTTCCGTTCTATCTCATCTCAGTTGCTCATATCCCACTAAAGCCTACTCCCTGTTTCTTTCCCATCTCCTGTCTTAAACAAGTCTTCCATCCTGACACTAAACATTTTACACCTTGCAGCCTTTCACTTCCTCTATCTGTTTTTACGCCTTTTTTTATCTCCCATCCCTCTTAGAAGAGCAGAAAGACCAGACTCTGTCAGTCTGGGTTCAGGCCTTCCAGTCTCAAAGTGCCTCTGTCTGCCCATGTGTGCGTTTGTGCGCGTACACGTTGATGCTTCCAGGCATATGAACATGCACAGAGCTAAAGATGAACAGGGAGAGTGTAGTCAGTCAATCAATTAATCCACAGTTAAATGTAATTAATTCCTCAGGCTGAGCATCAGCTGCAGAACAGCGGGCTCTCAACAGACCTAATGCTGAGTTTTAAAACCACACCTCCACTCTCTTTAACAGCACTACCATCAGGGGATAGATATATCAAACTCATGGACAGTACTAGAGCAATGTAAACTATCCTTTTGTTGCAAATGAGTCATAAATGCTCCCCAATCAGCAATAATCAAACATAATATTGACCAATAATTACATCCCTTGGCGACGGCTCTGATCGGCCTTATGAGGCTTCTGCTCTTACTGCTGTGGCACGAGTTACTGTTTAACAAGAGTTCAGATAAAGATAAAGGCAGACCACTCAGTTACTGTATGGATCGACCTATATAAAATAGAAAAGCAGAGGAAAATCTCTGCATACAAATAAAAAGCTGATTTGCAAGAACTGTGCAAACAATGTTTTTTCCCCTGAGTTGTCAACTCGTGGATCAGCATACACTAGTTTCTACATTGTTTCTACAACTGACAAAATAATTTTTTTTACTGTTTTGACTGCAGTCCTGAACGAAGCACTGATCAAGCAGTCAAAAACACAAACTCTAAATACAATAACAAATAAATGGAAGACAGAGACAAAGAAAGATAGACAGAGAAGAGGGAAAAGATATGCAAAACCATCACATAAGGCTTTGCCTGTAGCAAAAAAATTACAACTGTGCTTTTGGCAATGAATGGAGCTGCAGCATGGAGATGGGAAGACAAAGACATGGTTTTAATGACTAAACAAGCGTGTGTGTGTGTGTGTGTGTGTGGGCATAATAAGCTTACCTTGGAGTACTGTCTACGAAGACTGAAGCGCTGCACCATCCTGACTGACTGATGTCCCCACAGCTGGAACCCCTGTTCTACTCCTCTCCACTGATAACCCTCCAAAGTACACACTGCCTCACATAGTACACTCTACATTCACACACACACACACACACATACTGAAGGAACACAGGGTACCCTCCTCTCCAAACATCCTCTCCAAACATGTGCACACACATTTCTAGTCCACACTGCTTTCGTCTACTATGCAAACACAAGTGAGGAGAGAGAGGAAAAGAGGGAGAGTTAAAAGGGAGGGTGATGAAGCAGAGATGAAGACAGCTCAGCTGTGTTGCCCCCTACTCATATTCACAGTTATCCCCTGAGCTCTGTCACAGACACAGCCACTCACACAAGACGCTAACACCACATGGCTGTCAATGATTTCCAGTACACACACACACACACACACACACACACACACACACACACACAGTTTTGGGAAAGCAGATAAAAATGAGGTCTTACAGTCACACATATACACACCCAGCCACATCCTCTTCTAAACCCAGCCCTGAACATTCACACAACATGCACCACAACCAGTGCTTAGCTCTCACTCATCTAGGACGAGGCAAGGTTGCCTCCTGCTTCCTGTCGGTGAGCCGAAGGGCGGGGTGAGGAGGAGGTGGTGGCAGAAGAGGAGGAGGAGGAGGAGGAGGGGGAGATGGGAGAGGAGGTGGGACCAGCTGACTGTCTACACTAACTCTCTCCAGGGACAGAGGGAGGGGGGACAGGGAGGGGAAAGAGAGAGAGGGAAAAAGAGGTAGAAAAGGCAAAGGAAAGTGCAGGGAGGAAATTGTTGCAGAAAAGAAATGCACAGAAAGATTCATCATTCCTGATACACCTTCAAATTTAGACAAGCTATGCACCCCTCGACCTCCACTAACGTAAGCCAAGGTCGACCACGCTGTTACTATGGCAACCCAGGCAGGGCGTAGTTCTAGGCAGCAAGTTTCGGGGTAACCACGGCGACTGCTTGGATGACCTGAATGACATTGCTGTGTTGCTGTACGGAGACGACGTGTGATATTCGCTAGAGATGGGTGACACGGGTTATCATCTCTGCCAAGGACGAGCAACAGACCACAGAAAGGCTGATGGTCGTCTATCACAGCAGCAGGTCTAATAAATCCTCTCGGCCCCGCTCCGACATCCCAGATGAGGTCATTTGCGCAGGACTGAAGGATACCTGATTTTGGAATATATATAATAATTTGAGCTCACAGATTAGAGCTGTCAGTCACTGGTCTAGACTCACTGCCCACCGCTGGATTGATAGCAAGCCAACACTCTATCTTTGAAACACTGTTACCAAGTCTTTGGCACAGCTTATTTCATTAACCCAAGGACCAGTCAAGTCTACAACAAACATGAGCTTATAATGCAAACACAACCTCCACATGAACCAAGCCCAGTGCTGCTCACAACAGGTTAGCTGATCTGACAGTGTCCTCTGGTGGCAGACAGAACAAACTGCACTCTGAGATAACCCAAGATGGTTAAGAACTTGAAGTAAAAAGATTAGAATGTAAAGGGCTATGAAGTTTTAACAAACCAATACCGACACAACCCAAAGAAATCTATGCTACTTATTTTTCATTACAGAAGCTGCAGAACATGGAATACCATAGACTACTCTTAATGATCTCTGGATTAAAATCCTCTCTCTCCGTGGCAATCAGATGTATTTTAAATAGACAAGTACTACATAAATAGATGATTATCAAAGCAGAATATGAAAGGAATGATTTTTGAATTACAGTAGCCTCAGAATAAACCATTCAAAGTGTTATTCGCTTTAATAGATAGAGTCAGGCAGTCGGAGTTGTGCAAATCAACTGAATATCTTCCAAAATATTTTAGTACAAAACTCCTCTTTTCCTCTTTTTGTTCCCCTGGACAGTGTTACTGTGCTGGGGTGCGGTAGGGGGATGGTAACACAAAGAGGCAAACTGGCCCTAAAAAGACTTTGTAGGGTATGAACTTATTTTGAGTTACTCAGACTGCTAAAGTTTTGAATTAGCTTCAGATGAACTTGTGCACACATTGAGGACTGTGTATATCTGGTCTCAGTTTGGAGTAACTGTTTTGGTCACCAGTAGAAGAGACACATCGATCAGCCTGTGTAGTGAGAATATGATTCATGGCTGCTGTCACTTACTCTGTCCGTCTCCTCCGTGGACTGGTATCCTGATGACAGCACCACATCGCCGCTCGTGTATCCAGGGGTGGGGCTGCTGGGTGTTGTTTCAGTGGTGGAAGAGGAGCGTGGACGGCTGGTGTGCTGCTGTGGATCGTGGGTGTTGCGGCGGTGCGGGGCCTGGGGGCTGCCTCTCAGTAGGGGGTCGCGGTCTCCACTCCCAGATCCCGACCCGGGTCCCTTACTCCGCCGGCTCTGCAGGCTGGTCCCACGCCTCATAGTGCCTGCAGCGGCTGAGCCCTGGCCAGCTGCAGAGGGAACCACAGGGGCAGAGAGGTGGTCAGATTCAGGACAGCAGGACCCAGAGGCGTCCTCAGGGGCAGAGGGGGGGATGCCACCTGCTGACACTACAGATGAAGATGAGGAGGAAGACGAGGAGGGGGTGGTGGAGCGAGAGAGGGAGAGGCGTTTACGCTGCTGCTGGAACAGCTGTTTCAGTCCCTGGCCAAGAACCCCCATGCTCTCCCTGGCGTTTTGGCTCATCTTACTGAAGGAGGTGTGCTCTGACTGGGATGAGGCCCTCTTCAACCCTTGGCCTTGGGACCCCACTGCCTCTCTTCTAGCTGTAGGACCTGAACTGGGGCCCACCCCCTCTGGCTCCCTTTGACTGTCATCCCCCTGCTGCATATGGCCCTGCTGACCTCTCCTGAATAGCAGGGAGACTGTCCTATTAAACACTCTGCTAAAACATCCCTCTCTATCTGTCAGACATGCAGAGGGTCAGACCAGGACAATGACTGAAGGTAGGTAGACTAGAAAACAGTAGAGAACAGTAGAAGTGGAGATGGGACTTTCTGATGGAGGGTTTGATCGGCTGAGTGGCGGTCAGAAGGATGAATCCAAAGAGGGAGCATGCATCTTTGATTCAGGAACAAGTAGCCATGCTGTTCTGGCACAGAGAGAGAGGAGATGAATTATGAGAGGCTGGGGTGTTTCCTAGATCAAGTGACATTCAGTCCCTAACTTTCACTCTAGTATGTGACCATTTGCATAGAATGTGTGAATGCACAGTAATAAGACTGGAGTTTTACAAACTGCTGGTTGTACAGCATTAATGCTCTTTGAAGTACCAAAATGAATAAGCAACTTTGTGATTGTAATTTAAAAACCCTAAATATTGTAAGGAGAAATACAGTCTCCTCATCTGAAGATGGTCTCAGCCAGGCTGTCTCAGTGACAGTTGTGCCAGGCCTCTGAACCATTCTACATTTACACAGGCCAATGTTTCATGAGCAAATACAAATAATAAAAAGATAACGAGCTGGGTTCAGGTTAGCGAGCATGATAGAAAGATCACAAAATATAGTATAAATGAATTTAAAAAATAAACAGTATGGGGAGGGGTGGAGTGTGAAAGGCACAATAGGCCTCTATAATAAAGGAACAGATGCAGAAAGGGAGAAGAGGGAAGAAAGGGAAAGAGATAATAACTCACATCAGAATAAGAGAAACCCACCTACCATCAGCCCAACAGTCAGCCTTGGCGTGACTCACTCTTAAAGAAAGAAAACAAAGAAAAACAGAAAATCTTTTTTAAGACTCAAAACAGAAAATCTTCAACATACTCAACAACTAACAATCAGGCATATAATTCTGTTTTCAATAAATAATCATTTACTCCTTCAACATGCTGGGCATACTGAACAGAAAATGTCTGATACTGTGTGACACAACTTTGTGCTCCTTCAGGAGCTCATTTAGTATCCCCAAAGGCATCCCTTCCTTATCCACTGGTAGTATCAAGAGACAAGGGTTTCCGCACTAGAAACAACAGACAGTGAGGTGTCGCACAGAACACAGCGCAAGCTCACCTCCTGCAGCTTTGCACACTGCCTGGCTGAATCTTGGTCACTGTCAAAACTAACAGAGTGGACACTTCCTAACATACAAGCTGTCTTCCTCAAGAATGAACCTTATTGGTGGAACAGTGATCACCTCAGAGATAGACCCACAGACTAACAGGCAGTCAGCCAGAGCCTCCTTGCAGCATCTATAGCTGCTCCCACTGAGGGCAGCAAAACAAGCAAGGCCGGAACGTTGAGCGCCCTGGGAAGAGACAGTTAAATACTTAAACTGTACTCCTCAGGTCAGGTCATGAGGAATAAGACAAGTTGGGACAGATGGGTACACACACACTCACATATTCACACACTTCTCATTGCAAGAATGTCATCTATGCAAATGAATGCCGCAACAGGCTTGATTCACGTCGCCATGAATACAATCAGCTGTTCAGTTTCACACTCGATCCAGAGGCAGAAGGAGAACGAGCATGAAGCTGCTTGCAGGTAGCATATCCCTTTTCACAATGACTACACTGTCACTGCCACGAAATGGCACATTCACGTACACAAACACATTAACACAGCAGCTTTTACTTTCTCTGCAAGCTGATCGTAAATCTGGTCTTGTCTAATCGTTTTCTGTCCAATAGTCAGATTCAGTTAAATGCGCCTGTTGTCTGCCAGAGAGAGGCAGCAGATGTTGAACAGGTTCTCTTTAGTCACCTGCTAGCTGCCTGCTGCCTGTAGCTATTACAATATGGTTGTGTCAACTGTTAGACAGTGCCCTTTTGTACTAATAACAACACTGGTATTTTTACTGATTACAGCTGAGTCCATATATTTTAATATTTTATTTCAGGAGAAAAACATGAAGTTACATACATAATTCTGTTGTAAATATTAAACTAAATATCTCTCACAAAATATGATATTAAAATAACAAAGACACGTTTAAATTTTTTTACTGTATATTACCAAAGGGTTTACTCTTATCTAACTACACATAGCATCCGTTTCTTTATAGACCGAAACTAATTTCATTTTTCTTTCTTTCTTGAACTTTCCATGAACTTCCTGTGAAGGCAAACAACCATGCAAACAAGTGTGACACATACATGCATAGATGATTATGCACACAAGCATGTACTCTCACACTAAGACAGTAAGTGGCCTTTTCTGGCAGTTACAGTAAAGTGATTATGATGGAGCACTGTGTTTCTGTTGTTTTGGAGCTGGTAAGCAAACTTGCGCTAATCCTGTCCTCAAGCTGAAACTGAACCTGAAGCCCTGTCCCGACCCCGGTGCCCATCCCTCCCTCTGTGTCTGTAAATCCCCTCCTTCATCCCCAGGGCTAAACCCCAACGCTGGGATTGGATGTTTTCTTGATTGCGTACGGTTTTATATTCAAACTAAATCCTCTTTCAGGAGCCTTTAGAGGACAAAGTGTTATTGTCAGACTTGGTGTGTATGCTTGTGTATGAGCGCGAGGTCCCGCATCTTTGTTTAATTTAAGCGATGCATGTCGCTCCACCTTGATGAGGTGATGACGCAAAAGAACAAACAGCAGATGGATCTTTGAATAACCACTGTTCTGTTCTGACCCAAATTACTTCATTTCACCGCATCATACTACACTGCAAAAGACTTCACAGTTAGACATGCTACAGTTGGTATTCTTCTGTGTCTGACACAGGATGTGCTTTGGGCAACATAAACAAAAATGCAGTACTGTACTTTGGTGAACCTCTCAGGAAAATTCTGTCTTCGCTTGCTCCTCGGATCAGCCTCAGAATCATGCTAGTGGATGGATGTCTTTGGGTGCATTCAAGTCCTGTCCACTACAGAAACAGATCATTGATTGTCAGTGATAAACAGGTGTCAGTGACAGCTGGGGTCAGCAGCCTCAGTGAGTCAGCATGTGTCTCAGAAATTTGACAATACTGTCAAAAAGGTAAATTACAAATGACCACATGGACAATAGCCTCTCTGGAACCGTTGGATAAACACACACACACACACACACACACACACACACACAGGTCCTTGTCCTTAGCGCTGTAGCTCATTCCATTCAGCCAGTCGTCCAGTCTTGCTGTCATTGTCTTTGGCCAGCTAAACTAGAGAGATGGTGAAAGCTCAGCAGAGCTCTGGCATTGGCATACTGGGTAAATAAAAACAGCTCACACTGGAAATTTGTCATTTTGCGGACAGTGACAAGCACGTGTGAATTGATACGATAGATTTGAGATTCAGTTTAATGAAACAAAGGGGGGAATCGTGATTCTGATTTCTCTGCTTCAAGCTCTATCAAGTGCTAGTGTTTAACGAGGAGTCACAACATCACACCTCCCTGTAAATGTTCACTTTAGCTCTCTGGGTAGAAAACAGCTGTAGCTTCATTCAGGCAGAAACGTTATATTGATGAAGATGTTTCATTCTAAAATAACTCACGTCCATTATCATTATTGAACAAAGAAGATTAAGCCCTAGAGTGAGGGTAGCTGATAAAGCAGACAATCTGAAATGTAGCATAACGCAAGATAATTTATGTGTCAGTACGGTAGTATTATATAATTACGTTACAGTAGTATTATATAATTACGTTACAGTAATTCAAGACCAAATATGTGCATCAACCTGATCACAGTTTCTTCTTTTGACATTAAAAAAAGTTGCAAACTGGGCATGACCAACACAAGCGGAGGTCAATCTGTCCATGCTCTTTGACATTGAGGTAGCCATGTTGTTGTTCATTGCTGAACATACAGTCGGTCAACTCAAAATATGGCCATAGCTTAAACAAGCTCATGCAGTGTTTCCAGAAGAGTCTGAGAGCTGGCGTGGAATAGACCACTCTTTGTTCCCTCTGAGCCACACACAGGCCCATCGCTGCTCTTTGTGCTGCGCCTCTTTCACTGACAGACACACATCAATAAGAGGGGAATTAGGCCAGAGAGTTCTGGCAGTGATGTTTGTGAGCGAGTGCACAGACAAATATGTGTGTGTGCTTTTATCAGACAAAGACAAGGAAAGAGAGAGATAGCAGGAACTATATTGTGCGGAAATGTGCAAATACTGTACTTGCATATGTGTGTTTGTTGTCTTTGACTAATGGAAACTGAACCATATCTCATTCAGCAGCTGCATAATGACAGCACAGGCAGGAAGCAGGAACAATCGTTATTGTACTTGCGTGTGTGTGTGTGTGTGTGTGTGTGAGGGGTGGGAGAATAGCACAGTTGTGTCAGCTCTGACAGTGCAGGAGATGACTTCAGCATACAGCAAAGAGATTGATAGGAGACGCAACTCTTTGTATCAGACAGGGACAGAGAAAGTAAGAGAAGAGAGACACAGGGTGACAGAGGGTGTGAAAGAGGCCAGACTGGTTCAAAGGCATCCGTCCAAGACTGTTTCGCCTGGCCGTGCCGGGTTTAGCTCGGGCGCTCAACACAGAGTGCGTCTGAATAAGGAGGTGAATGGCAGGTAGCTCCCTGGCGGAGGCAGGCACAACGCCCTATTGTGCAAGAAGAAATCCACAGGGAAGCCCTGATACCAAAGTTGTGCTCAGCTTTCCAGGAACAAGACAAACCAGAAGACACACAATCATTCACCCCTACGCATGCTGACAAAAAAAAAAAAAAAATCACCATAGACATTCAAAAATGAAGAATGAAAAATGCTGTCTGCTTGTACAGCCGACAAGAAGACTATCGTTGGAGACTGATTCACACCTGGTATCTGTTTCACTTTTTCCTAAAATTTTTTAATCTTGAATATATATGGCCGATAGCTTAAACAAGGCAAAACCATCATGTGTGGGATGTGGACGCTTGCCTTACCTAATATTTATGATTTAATTTTATCTCTTAGGCCACAAGAGACTCGCTGTAACGCCATCCCTAGTTAACACCACCCACTCATATTGCTGCAGAAAACTGATAAAAATGTCGATCACAAAAGAAAATAGAAAATATACAACAACAACAACAACAAACACACTCACACAAAGTGGAACAAAAGGTGGTATATTGGGTGTGAAGCAAGTCTGAGTCACGTAAGACTCCCTTACAGAGTCTGTGAGGTGGGAAGCTGCAAAGACAAAGTAACAGACTTTGCTTATTTCAGTTTCATCTCCACAGAGGAACAACTGTGTTGACCTTTTATGGTTGTACAGGGCTGTAAATATCACATATATCGCTGAGCTATAGGGTGCACAGAGGGGATGGACAGCAAACAAATCAGGGCAGTGAAGTGAAACATAGCTGAAGACTAGCAGAGAGTCATTAAGATGCGCGTTAATCGTTATGTTGGATATTGCTGAATGTTTACTGGGGAGGCCTTGTTCAAGGGATCGCCTCTGCATCTGTGCTCAACACCATAGCGAGTGTCCTAATGAATAATTCACCACCTGCATGGAACCGACACAGGTCCACATGGACTACAACTACAACAACAACAACACTCTAGACCTAATGTGTCTGACTTGATGGAGAGTGTTGGTAACATATATGTTCTCAAAAGGCAGGTTTCCAGTGGACAAGAGGAGAAATTAGAATGAGTTTGTGATACATTTCATGCCCTGCAAAGTGGCCCTTCACTTACTAACCTGATAGGTGTTTAACAGTGGCCAGGCCTCCAACTTGGCCAGCATAGCTCATATTCCACCAGCTCTGGCAGGGCAACAGGCTGGAAACCACCTACACACCAGCTGAAATCTCATACCAGAGATTGTGTTAAAAGGCGCACAGCCATAAGGAATGGGAAAGGGAACGCGCGTCTAGTTCAACACACACTTTGTGCGACTGAAGAGGGAAACCTGCCAGGTTATCGGGCCATAGGGCATCTGGCTCTTTGTGGTGCCAGCAGGTGAGAACTACTTTACACAGTTACATAAATCGTCCGATTCGTCACCTATTTAAATAACTCTTCAGTCAGCTCTCTGAGCTCAGGTAACTAGACACCTCTACATACTAGGGTGGGTTAGTGGGGATAAGCACATCCAAGCTGTGGTCTTGAAGTTCTTACTATGAGTGTGAAATTGGGCTCAACACGTAGATTGTGGCTCAGCAATATCCAGTCTGGGAGAAGATTTAAATTGAAAGAAGATATTCCTCCTGACTTCCAAACTTTAATATCCATTCTTCTAAAGACCGCCATCTAAATACAGGAAGATGTAAACAAACTAAAATTAAGGGGTGATCAAAATTGTGCAGTTCTGAGCAGAACACAATGTCTATATAACATAATATTGGAATAAAAACCCAGTCCTCCTTCCATGTACATGTTTCTTGATGGCAATGGCAAACACTGCTGATTGCAGCCGAGATAAAGAACGATTTCAGTCTGTGGCATCTAAATTAAGCTGCATTATGACACATCTGCTACCCTGTGGGCTTTCAAACAGCAAAGCCCTGCTGGAGGAGGAAGAAGGTAAGAGAGAGAGAGTGCTAGAGACACAGGGAGACAGAGAGAGGGAAAAAGAGAGAGAGAAAAGGAAACAGTGTTTCCTCTCTGAGATAAAACAGTTCCTCTTTAGCCACAGCTGGCCTTTGGTTGAGAGAACAGAGCCAAATCACTGCCTGAATGATGCTAAGATTTAAATTCCAAAGGGCAAAAAACAGATTATCTGTATCCATTTGAATCCCTTACTGAACATTTTTACATCATTTGTTAACACTGCAAGCCATTTATAACTTCACAAAACACTGAAAAGCGAGGTTTCTAATGGCATGATGTGGTCGTTTCAACTCATTATTGTTTATATGCAGTAAAATTGACCACAATAACATGAACCCAATGAACATTTGTCAGTACTGATGTCACAACTTCCCAGCCGTGATCCAGTTATGACACCCGTTGTGTGTGTGAACGCGCTTTTGGTCTCTCTCTCTCTCTCTCTCTCTCTTGCAGTGAGGTCGGGGCCCTGACTGTTGCCCTAAGAGCTGGCTTTATTTAGTCCAACCTGATTCAATTCAATTCAATTCAATTTTATTTATATAGCGCCAAATCACAACAACAGTTATCTCACAGCGCTTTTCATAAAAGAGCAGGTCTAGACCGTACTCTATGATGCTATTTACAGAAGCCCAACAGTTCCCACCAAGAGCAAGCACTAGGCGACAGAGGCAAGGAAAAACTTCCTTTTAAGTTCCGTGCCTCGTTGGGTTCCAGGTCTACTTAGGCAGCGACCAGACATCCACTCCCTGCCGGATCGTTAAGTCCGACTGGACCTATTTGGACCTGGAATCTACTTCCTCTGAATCCAATGGACTCTCCTGCCTCCCCCATCCAGGTAACACCGGGATGTGCGTATACAGCCATGCGCCTCCTGTGATACACACTTCCATCCAGGTGCCCTCACCAATCAGAAGGATTCTAGTGCAGCAACAAAGACATGATCCCTCACCAGCAATGCCTGAGGTACCACACCACTGCCAAGAACTGAATCCAGGTCTTTGGAGTATATCTCTGACTCTACAATACACAACACATCGTGTTCTCATCTGCAGCAGAGGGGAGCAACTAAGCATTAGACACTAAACAAGAGAAATTTAAAAAGTCGCTTTATATTTTTTAAATGAATTTCTTAACAAATGATTAAATATGGCAAAATATTCTGTAACACAATATAAAACATCCATTCATCCATACCAAGTGTCCTGTTCAGGGATGCAGCGGACTGAAGCCTTTGCAGGGCATACAGTACATCAAGCGAGAAGTCTGGTACATCCTGGACACAGCACACACATCCAGACAAGTCACTCCTATGGACAACTAAGTTGCCAATTTACCTAACCTGCATGTCTTTGAACTATGGGTAGAATCTGGAGCACCCAGTGGAGATGTAACTGAAAACATCATAAATAATTATTTTATGTACGCGTTTCACGCTGATGACGAAACTACTACAGAATATGGGGCAGCAATGTTTTTGGACAGGTTCCTAGCATGCAGAACAATAACTGATGTATGACAAGACATTATTAAACTAAATTACAGATTGCCAATTTGACACACATACCTTGTTATACTTAACATAAACAATGAAAAGATCGTAACTTTAACTATAATCTACTTAATGTCATCTTTCTAATCCAGTATCTGCAGCTTTGTTGTGAGAAATGCAGGCTTCCTGTGCACACGGCCAATTAATCAGCCCCTGTGACAGCTAGGCGAGCATTCAGCAAGCTGTGTTAATCTTGGATCTGATCTGAGATAGGCACATCTTCATCACATCTGATGCAGAAAGTGTTACGTGGAGCTGAGCACAAATCAGAGGAGGCAACTCCATCTTTAGAAACCACGAGTTCTTATTTGTAAGCACCGTGCATGCAAACACACATACATATAAACGAACACATTACGCTCGTACAAAGACTCTCAATTCTAAGCTCAGCTCCTAGCAGGGAGGGCACAATGTGAGTGCAGTGGGAACAGGAGGAGGAGGAGAAGGAGGAGGAGGAGGGTAGCGTCATCGTGGTGGTCTGACCATCAGAGTGAGACATGAATGGCTGCGTTAGCAGTGCCCTGAAGGGGCAGCTAAGCTCTCAGCCACTTAGCGTATGCTGAACAGATAGTGGGATACATCATGTCATACTGGACCCTTCCAACGCTCTACATGATGTATCAGTTGTACATGCAGGGCAGTGTCAAAACTATCAGGTTATAAAATTGGTTAGAGATGGAAGAAGAGAGATGGAAACAGTTATCAGAATGGATGAGTAGAATAAATGGATGAAAACAAACCTTCAGTCCATAATCATGATGCTGGGGTGGATTTCCTTCATTGCAGAGGAGACGACAACCTGCTACATCAGGCCTGCAGGTCTTCAACAAAAAAGAGAAAAAGTGAGATGGAAACTGTAATCCTCTAAATGCCTCCTTGGCACATTGTACTCTCTTCGTCTGCCTGCTGTTTGCCTGCGTGTGAGAGTGTGTTAGAGTGCGTATGTCTCTGTCTGTCTCCCAGACACTCATAATAACAGGTTGCAGAAAAAAAATCTCCTCTGTGAAGAATACTAGGCATCAGATGTAATGAGGCTGCAGATGTCCATCCTTACCAGGCAATGAAAATGCCTTTAGTCCATCAGACTGCATTAACCTTAACATGTTGAGACTAAAATAAACCCTGCTGACTATTTATTAAAACTTGTGTAGGTTGCAGGCAACTGGCAGCCCCCTGTCTATTAATCCACAGAGACACATCAATATGTCAGGATCACAGTAAACAAAAAGTTTCATGAATTACTTGATTTCATGAACTTTTACTCTGATCAAGAGTTCATGACAAGCTAGCAAAGTCTCCTAGAGGATAAAATGAGAGCAAACATACCATTTCCAGATGCAACCAACTGTTTTTGAATGTTTACGATTATTTCCTACAATATATGCAGCTTTATTACACAATATTTTACAACATTTGAATTATTTTGTAATTTAAGTACTACAGCAGTAAAACGCCCACATATGAATGTTATGATGACACCACAGGAGGTGAAATATTGCGGCTGTTACGAAAGATAAGTCTTAAACTGCCCTGTTGGGAAGCACATAACGTAACGTTACTTTATGCCCAATAGAATTAAAGTAACTACAGACGAGCCTTCCTGTATGTTGTGCAATTACAATATGTGTAAAGCTAAAAGTCTTTCAAGTGTTTGTTCAATGCCAGTCAGTGCTGTCAGTGAGTAGCAGCAGTGTGTCAACGGACTCAGGTTGACAGTCCAGTCCAGTGTCATTGTACAGAGCTGCAGCTAAAACGATAAAATATCTACCTCGACACTCTAACAGCTTTTCCTCGCGGCACAGAGACGCAGTACAGATCACACAAACGAATAAAATGACGGTAAAACAACCCTAAAAAACAAACTTAAAACATATTTCACACTTACACGGGTGATAGCAAACTGTTGAGGCTGACACCGACGTTCAACGAGCGGCACCCCTCCTCCGAGTGCCGTCCTCCCCACGGTCCACCCTCCCTCCGTGCTAACGTCATGACGTATGACGTAACCAAGAGTGTGGGGAACCAAAGATTGTGCTGCGGTGGAGAGTTCTCACTCGTGTGTATAAAAATTAGATACGTACACCTTTAGTTTAGACATGAAAGAAATTATTTCAGAAACGATTCACCACAGAGAGGGATCAATGATGTTGTTCTGTTCTGATAATCGTTTAATTGACATTTAACAAGCAAAATGTTAAACACTAGCTCATCTTCTCAATTGTGAGAATTTGCTGCTTTTGTGGCATTACACTGAATATGAGTTTTGAACAGTTGGCCAGAAAATAATACAATTGGAAAATGTCAACTTGGACTGATGAGCACTTTTTAGGCTACTATTTACTATTTGTATATAATAAATTAGTTAATAATTTAATAATTGGCAGATCAATTATGATCAATTATGAAAATAACTGGTAGTTGCAACCCTATTTCCCTTAATTGAGGATTATTCACTTCACTTCAATTAAATTTTATTTATATTCATTATGCAAATAATAACCTCAAAAATTACATTTAATTAGAAAAATTAAGCACAACTACTGCTGCAGCATTCCTATTACTCTCACTCCTGTAGACAAGCACAACAGCAGATGGCAGCAGCATGACAGAGGTCAGGTCAGAAGTCAGTTTGCTGTTCTCACTTATGATTTTTCAAATAAAACAAATCTTTGTGCCTGACCAGAATTTCTTTCTGAACACAAATGTTGTGTTTTAAATAGGAAAACTGTGATTCCTATTCAACCATTCATGAAAGGACAAAAGTTACATTTGATTTATTAAATTAATATGTCAGGTATAATGTTGTATACTTTGAAGACCGTGGAGATGGTCGTGGACTTCAGAAAGAGCCCCGCCCCACCCTCCCCCATCATCCTGTGTGACTCCCCGTCACCACTGTGGACTCCTTTCTTGGGCACCATCATCACCCAGGACCTCAAGTGGGAGCTGAACATCACCTCTCTCACCAAGAAGGCCCAGCAGAGGATGTATGGCAGCTGAAGAAGTTCAGCCTGCCAAAGACAATGATGGTGCACTTCTTCATCGCCTTCATTGAGTCCCTCCTCACCTCCTCCATCACCATCTGGTACGCTGCTGCCACTGCTATTGACAAGGGCAGGCTGCAGCATATCATTCGCTCTGCAGAGAAGGTGATTGGCTGCAATCTTCCTTCTCTTCAGGACCTGTATGCCTCGAGGACTCTGAGGCGAGCAGGAAAGATTGCAGCTGACTCCTCCCACCCCAGACACAAACTGTTTCAGACTCTCCCCTCTGGCAAGAGGCTGCGGTCCATCAGGACCAAAACCTCTTGCCACAAAAGCAGCTTCTTCCCATCAGCAGCTAGCCTCATTAACAAGTCCATCACTGACACTCCCCCCTTTTAAAATAATACAACTGTCTCTGCACATGTATTTATATATTATATATTTATTTATATATTTATATATATATATATTTCATTTCATATCACACACAAACTTGGCACACTGCACATATTTGTTGTTAATTGTTAATCTTTGTTGTTGTATATTTTTATATTGTCAATTTTATATTTATGTACACAATGCTCTCTTCCGTTGCAACACATCTTTCCTCTGCAAATAATTGTATTATTGTTCTCTATTCTCTTATTATTCTTATATAACTTGCATTGTCTAATCCATATTTATATATTTCTAAATTTATTTATGTCAACTGTATGTTTGTCTACGTGTAGCACCTCATCACCAAAGCAAATCACCATCACCAAAAACACTACTTGGCAATAAAGCTCTTTCTGATTCTGATTCTGATATAACTTAAACATTTTTAGGATTCAATATTTATTAATGAATCAATATTATTTCTTAAACCCAATTCAATCAATATTACTTCTTACCCTCATTTCATACAAGGTAGGTTGAGTGGGGACTAATTTTCTTTCTTGCAATTATTGTGTGTTGGGTTTCCCCTCAGAAACTGATGTGGCGGCACCCAAAATGGACATGTTAAGACGCTATATTCTGTCATCTTAAAAAGAATAGTAAGTGATTGTAATCCAATACAGTTTTTTTTTAATTCAGAAAATTTTTCCTCACAGTTTGCTAGCTCTTCATTTTCCTACACAGCCCTGGCTCTGTAAATGGAAAACAAAGAAAATGGTGTGGACCTTGCCACACAACATTGTTCCACCTTATCAGTAACAGTTTGTGCACAGGGGTGATGTGGGGATGGGGGCAGTGGGAGAGTTCTATACACCGGCACATTTGACCGTCCAGGACTGCAGGTACTGTGAAGAAGGAGAGATGGCCGAGAAACAGCCAAAGAGGAAATTGTATGAAGACTATAAACAGAGAAGAACGTTTAAGGACCAGGCAAGGGCGAAGGTGTTTTAATGCTTTAGAAACCTCAGAGATTTTAAATTTGGAGGGCAAAGCTTCTGACACTACTGCTACTGACGTTCAAATTTGAATCAGGGTGTTTATTGTTGTCTTAAGACATTCAAATTTGTCTTGTTAATAGGACGCTTTGTATCATCTTAAGACATTCAAATTTGCCTTGTTAACAGGATGTCGTATGCCGTCTTAAGACATTCAAATTTGCCTTGTTAAAGGAGTGTTTTATGTCATCTTAAGATGACCGTTCACTGCTCCCAGGAGTTAAAACCTTCCTCCAAATTCACTTCTTTTCTCTGCTAATCAGCCAGTAGTGTTTCTAATCAAATCCAAGGGCGTAGAATTTAGTAGGGATGGTATGGTACTACTGAATTGTCCCTAGCAATAATTTTGTTAAAAACAACAAAATTTAACCACTGTTAACCGTCAGTCTCTAGTCAATGTATTTGGTAGGCCTACACAAATGGTTTAAACAGCTCATGTTCTCTAGTCCAATGCGGTTTTTAGGTTTTGAAAGATTATGTCCTTTCATATGTTTAATAGTGGATTAGTCCACTGCCTATACCTTTTTCAAACCCTCAGTGATTTTATTTCTAAAAATCTCCAGCTGGGAGATGATTTTATTGTCCACCATTAACAGTGACATGAAATATCTGCCCTTGCATGAGATCACAAATCAGAAATGATGAAACACTGTTTCTTTTAGCTGAAATCCTTTACACATTGTGCTGTTTGACTAAATTTACTGAGCATACTTGACTCCACGTTGGTCTACAGGGTTTAACTAAAAAAGTACAAATAAAAGCACTCTCTCCTGAAGACAAACAAAATTGATGATTATTTAACCAAACCGACTACTAAGAAAACACCAATACAACCATTTCTGTATGTCATTGGTTCATCCCATACCACAACAAATATCCTGTTATATTCTTCATTCATCATGTTCATATGTGCAACTATATTTTACGATCAAATACCAAAGCAACAATTATGCAACTTGATGGATTCCTAGTCTTAACAACTCCTACAGTGTTTCATATGTATTTGTATGTGAATGGGGAGAGATGAATAAGGCATGCTCTTTCCTCATGCAAAAATCCTTAAGATCTTGATCAGTTCTTGATCAAGATCGCCTCCTACTCCTACTCCTATTCGCCTCCTACTCCTAACTGATACAGTGGTGGTCCTCCGTGGTTAGCAGTGCTACATGTGACAGGGAAGTGTGTCCAGTTGGCTTTACAGGGCTTGATTAAAATGACTAGTGAGGTTGAAGGACAGAGAGATAGCATCAAGGATGTTCACCTTGATTACCTGTCAAATACCACTAGCTATATCTCTAATATCTTCTTCAGTACTTTTCATACAGTGGTCAATAGGGCTCTTTATTCATTTCCACCTGACAAAGGAAAAGCACCAGAGATTCCACATCAAACCAACTTTAACATGACTTCACTCTTTTTGTTCTCTCACCCGCATGACATGCTGGAAGAAGCGTTTCATTTCTGGATAATAAGTGCAAAGTCTCTATCTCAAAGCCTTGGTAGCTATAGCAACATAAAATGTATCTCCAGTCTCAATGCAGAAAAGCATTCTATCCATCTGTGCCTTAGTGATTTCAGGCTTATTTCTCAAACATGAACCAATAAAAATCTGCCTTTGTGATTGGTAAAGTGAAACCTGTAAACACAATGGATGAAAATCAGAAAATCACAGTTTGCCATACTGTAATTCGGGAACATCTCGCAACAGATGCTAATTCTAATGTTTTAACAATTAAATATTAATTAACACATATTGTCTGTAATTCCTAATGTTGGATGTTTATTTTATGTTGTTACAGTCATCAGGGAAAGTATTCCCTTGTGTCCCATAGTCACAATATAATTCATGAAACAAATACCAGTTTGACACAATGTGGCTTGTTACTCCTTAAAAACTGTTGCGACATTATGCTGTATCTACATGTTTCCTTCCTTTAAATAATGTACACCAACAGATCCTTCCTCTATTAAGAGACAAGATAGTTTTAATTTCTGAAGGACTACATCTATTAAATGCTGCAATGCTGTATGACATGTTCTGCTGTGCGTTTGCTCTAATTTGTGTCCACTAGATGGCAACATTTACACAGACAGATGAAAGTGGTTGTATTTTTTGATGGTGGTCTCTCTCAGAAGAACACTGCCTGTTTCCCTGTTGTTCAACTCTTTTGGAGCAATTTTAAACTTGTGATTTTATCTTATATGAAAACCACACAGGCATAAGAGGATACATGAGGGACTGAGTAGGGAGAATACTGTCTGTAGTACATGAATATATGTGGACTGGGTGTTTGTGGTTTTTTCCTCACTGTCTCCTCACCCCACTGTATTTTCTCATCGGCTGTTTTATGTCCCTGTGCTTTATTCTATTTCATTCATTTTGTAGACAAAATGAATTATACGCTTTACTTGAAGAAAAGAAATATAACTTTGTTATTAGACTCTAATCAATCCCTCTGCACAATATATCCACAATATTGACTACCTGCTGATTACTCAGCTTTGCGTTTCACAGTATCTATATAAAGTTTTTTCAGTAAAACCCAACAGAAAACACTTCAG